AGGAGGGGGAGCTGGATACGGAGGAAGAGGAGGAGGGGGGGGGGGGGGGGGGGGTGGGGGCCGGGGGGGGGGGGGGGGGGGGGGGCCTGGGCCCGGGCCACCGGGGGCCAGCAGGCCCAGGGTCTGCGTTTGGCCCCGGCCGCCGGGCGCCGAGTGCTTTCTGCCGTCACCTGTGCTCTGGAAGTAGAAAGAGGGGCAGACGGCTGAGGGTCTACAGGCGCCCCGGGCCAGGTCGGGCGGCGGGAAGGTGCCCGCTACTGCGAAGGGCGAGCTACGGAGGCTACGCTACGGGGGGGAGAAAACCCCGGTTAGCGGATCACAGGCCAGTGGTGTGACTGGGGTTATGGAAAAAGTTCCATAAATGAGTCAGGCAACGTTTTTTTAATAGAGAAGCTCGATCTAGTCCAATAAAGGCATAACTCAAGTTAAAGGCACGTCCCCTTATTGTCGAACTTTCCAGTAGTTGTAGATACTGCTTTATATATACATATACAGTGGGGGAAATAAGTATTTGACCCCTTGCTGATTTTGCAGGTTTGCCCACTTACAAAGAATGCAACGATCTATAACTTTAATCATATGTACATTCTAACAGTGAAAGACAGAATCCCAAAAAGATTCCAGAAAATCACATCATATGAATTTATAAAAAATGATAACCATCTGATGAGGAAAAATAAGCATTCTTTGTCAGCAAGGGGTCAAATACTTATTTCCCCCACTGTATATATATATATGTATTAAAAGTGGAAGGCTTTATAAGTATGCCCTGGGGGTATTTGAGAAAATAAGTGTTTACATTTACCACCTTGTTCTAAATGCATGCATATTTTCACATATTTTATAATCGAACCAGGTTACAGGTTTGTTTACCATTAATCTATTATCATTCCAGGTCTCCAGACGCTTTACGTCCCTTCATTTGATTGACGGTCAGGACTGGTATGCCTTGCCGGTGAGTGGCTATAAACTAGCATTGGTAGTCATTCAAATCAAACATTAATATCCCATGAATGATTGTATAATGTCAGTGGTTAATTCTGGGTTTTGTGTTTTTGATTTTGTTGCAGGTTTACAACCTAACTAACTCACTAATTATCGAGCTGATGGGCTAGCGTAGTTGTAGCGGTTAGGCTAGCTAGTGTGCGTGGATGCTTATTGTTAATGTGTGCACGATAAAAATCCATAAAGCGACTGGAGTTGCATCCACCGTTGTCTTGAAACCCTTCCAGATTGGAGTTTATTGAGCTATAGCAGGTAGTTCAGTAAAATGCTTGACACTTATATAAGTTAGCATGAATAAAGGAAAGGAAAAGGCCTCTGTGTTTCTTATCAGCAACAAACTAAGAGATTCTGATTTACTCCTCAGTCCTCAAGGAAGTCCCATGGAGGATCTCCAAAAAGGAAAAAATCTATGCTTATTCTCAGGAGACAGGAAGGGGAACCCCTTTTTGGACGGACCAAAAGGAGAATCTTCTCAGGAGATGAGTGAGGATGGCACAAAGGGCAAGTCAAACTATTTCAATGATAAACACAAAAATGGGGGATTCATTCTTGATGGGATTAAGTAAACGGTTGCATTTCCAACTGGTGCTAAAACCACAGACATGCGAGACGATTCTCCTTAAAGGAATTAACAACCAGGGATCCTCAACGAAGAACCAAAACAGAAACATCTCCAGGACACTGGACAGCTGGCCAAAAGTATATACACAGAAACGGGTGGAACACAATAATGGAGATGGAGCCACCGGGGGAACAAACGGAGATCCATGCTCTGCGGAGGGGCCCGGACCGGTTACCCTGGTTACCCCGGTTACCCCGGTTACCTGTCGGACGATCAGGGTGCTGTCCTTGCAGGGCGTGGAGCCGGCGTCGTTCTCCCCCTCGTCGTGGACGATCATGGTTTTCACCGACTCCGTCTCACCATTACTCAGCCTGGAGGTCCTGCATACAGTAGAACCACTTAAGGACTGTACTTAAGTACCAAAAGTACCAAAATCTTTACTTTATTGGAGTATAGATTTTTTTCCCTACTTTTACTTTTACTCCACTACATGTTTTTGATTAATTTAATACTTTTACTTTTACTTTCACGGGCTGAATCGTTACTCGTTACTGATATGTAAACGTAAGGAATCATCCCCAGTCATAGAATCAGAGCCAGAGCTGTAGATAGCTAAAGATAGATTTAAAAAAAGCCTCCTGAAAGATTGTGAAATCATGGCCTTCAAAAATCCCCCATCTAATCTGAAGAAGCATATCAAGGTAAATTAAAATGACAATGACATATAAGCTAGTAACTAAACGCTAGTTCAGTTCTCCCTGTTCACTCAGCTAACATTAGCTAAAGCTAACCTAGCTGGCTAGCTGTATGCTACATGCTAGCATAAAGGCTCAGCTCAGGATTCTGACTCTGGAATAATAAATAATAGTAGAGTGCAGTTGGTTGCTAATGCAGATGTAGTTTTCTGCTTTTTTGCTTTCACACTTTTGAAATAATATAAACAATATCTATCAGACTTTTGACTGCCTTTTTAAAATATAAACAGTAGCCTACTTGTACTTTTACTTATACTTGTACTTTCAATACTTGAGTAGCATTTTTTTAAAATCCTTCTACTTCCACTTAACCCTATATGTATCATATTTGATAGATACGGTTTCTGAAGTCTTTTGGATCTGAGACTTTTTGCATCATTCAGTGGTAAAAGCTTTGCTCAAACCCCTGTTGTACACATTCAGATATACCTGATAACAGCCAGTAGAAGACTACACCAAAATATATTTCTGACTTATTGCACGCTAATTTGCTCAAAACAATTTCAGTTTTTTTTTCCTTCATATGTTGTTGGGGGGCCAAAGAAAGACTTCAGACTAAAAAATCCAATATTCTTCCTATTTTTCTTGGATCAGGCTTTAAAGGGTCAACTGGACAGACGGTAATGAAAATGTCCGGTTGGTTCCCCTTCCAGGAGTTAAAACTACTGTCTAAATACCATGAGAATAAACCAAAACAAGCTTTTTAAGCCCTTTTTCTGGTGTAGAAGACTACACCAAGATATATTTTTAACTTATTGCACGCTAATTTGATCAAAATATATATATTTCTTTGTTCTTCATATGTTGTTTAGGGGCCAAAGAAAGACTTCAGACAAAAAAAAATCCAAAATTCTTCCTATTTTTCTTGGATCAGGCTTTGAAGGGTTAAGTATGGAGTTGAAAGAACACTTCAACTTTTACTCAAGTCAATTTTTTTTGAGGGGGCCCTCTACGTACACGGCTCGGGAGTCCTCGGGCCCGGAGGTGGACTCCTCCCCCGGCTCCTGGTCCACCTCCTCGTCGTCGTCCTCGTCCGTGGTGTCGGAGTCGTCGCTGGAGGAGGAGTAGTCGGTCACTTTATTCTGGGGGCGCACGTCGTCCACCGCGCGGAGCTCCTTAGCTAACGCCGTCAGGTCCTAAAAAACGAGGGCGGGCAGCCATTGTTATTTATCTAACCAGCCATAGTTATTTATCTAACCAGACTTTCTTTCTTTCTCCCTCCTCCTCCTCCTCACACAAGCATCCTTCCAGGAAAGCGTGAAGCTGGAAGAGGAAGAGTTGTTAGAAAACATCCACCAGCCAATGAGAAGCCGAGGTGAGGAGGAGCAAAGCCAGACAGAGAAACAGCCGGAAACGGTGAGGCTCTGTTAGTGGATTAGAGCTACCCATGAGGCGTTTGTTAGAGCTGCAAAGATGGAGGAGTTTAGGAGGTTAGGTTTGGAAAAAGAGGGGTGGGGGGGGCAGTGGCCGAGCTTCTCCCCCTATCTCTAAGGGAGAGGAAACTCATTGTATCCGGGATCTCGTTCTTTCGGTCACTACCCAAAGTTCGTGGCCGTAGACGAGGGCGGGAACGTAGATCGACCGATAAATCGAGAGCTTTGCCTTTAACTCATTGACTGCCAGAGTTTTTTTTAGCGTTTTGACAGATTTTTCAAGAGCCACAGAATAGTTTGTGCTATGACTATGTAAACACCGAACACACCAAAAGAAAGAGTAGACTCTCTTCTTTCATCAGGAAAAAAAGTTTGTTTCTACCTTATTCCGTTCTTCCTCGACTTGCGTATCACCGGCGACATGTTCTCTCATAGCGAACCGTTACCTTTTTCTTATTTGCCTAATGTCTATGCTCATCTCCCATCAAAAGTGGCACTGCCCCCTAGAGGGTCAATTTGTTACTACATACTCTGTCTAGAAGCCTGATATTTACGGACAAGCTTTAGCAGATCGTCCCCCAGCCACTCTTGTTGAAAAACATAACAGACGTCTATAGACGTCTTTGGCAGCCAATGAGTTAAGCTCAGCCCTCTTTTCATCACGCTCCCTACCCCCATTCGCGAACAAAACCCCGAGATACTCGAACTCCTCCACTTGGGGAAGGACGTCCGCTCCGACCCGGAATAGGCACTCTACCCTTTTCCGGTGATAGAAGATAGAAAAAAAGAAAACAAACCACCTGCTCAGAGTCCGAAAGCAGCCGATGTCGGAGGTCAGAGGTCATGCCATGCCACCCCCAAGATCCCAATCAAGCCCCAAGCAGCACCCCCCCCCTCATCAGGCTCTAGCTCTAGCTCTAGCTCTAGCTCTAGTCCGATCGAGCTAACGGAGCTACGTTCGGCTCACCGCGGGGCCGGGCCGGGCCGGGTCCCTCCTGTCCTCCGGCTTTTTCCCGCCGCCCTCCGGCCGCCGGAGGGGCGACCCCCCCGATTTGGACGAGGCTGGGAGGAGGCGTCAGAGGCGTTAGGGTCAGATACAGCGGGGGGAAATAAGTATTTGACCCCCTTTTGCTGATTTTTGCAGGTTTGCCCACTTGACAAAGAATGCGACGATCTACTATTTTAATCATCAGAATCAGAGTCAGAATCAGAAATACTTTAATAATCCCAGAGGGAAATTATTTTTGTTACAGGCTCCATAAGTAAAACAAAGGCATATACATATATATATACAAAATTGCTCATATAATATAGCTAGATATATACATAAAAAACTATATGTGTATATATAGGTCAAAATGAGTGGTGGATAATGTCAATGATTCTGATTCTGATTCTGAAAGGATGCAACGATCTACTATTTTAATCATATGTACATTCTAACAGTGAAAGACAGAATCCAAAAGAAAATTCCAGAAATTCACCTCATATGAATTTATAAAAATCGATAAACATCTGATGAGGAAAAATAAGCATTATTTGTAATTCAATTTCAATTCAATTCAATTTGATTTATATAGCGCCACATCACAACAACAGTTGTCTCACAGCTTTCCAAACAGAGCAGGTCAGACCGGACTCTGAAGTTAACTACAGAAACCCAACAATTCCCACCATGAGCAAGCACTAGGCGACACAGGCGAGGAAAAACTTCCTTTTAACAGGCAGAAACCTGGAGCAGAACCATGGCTCAGGGTGGGACTGAAAGTGGGCAAACCTGCAAAATCAGCAAAGGGGTCGAATACTTATTTCCCCCACTGTAAGAGAAACCTACAAAGTCTGACAGGTGTGTTGTTCTGGTTGTTTGTTTGTTTTTTTGGGTTTGTTTCGGGGACTCACAGCGGGCCCTGAACCTCTCCCCGGAGCCACAGTGAGAACCGGGCTGGGAGCCGGAGTTACTGGAGGAGCTGGAGGAGCTGGAGCTGTTACCGGTCGCCCTGGGGACCAGTTTCTCCACCCGCTCCCACAGGAGCCGCGGCTCCGCCGAGCTGCGGGGGCAACACACGGTCAGGCGGGGGGAGGGAGCCTCCAGGGGGCGCTCAGGAGCAGGTCAGGGCTCTGAAACGGCCCCGAGACTACTAACTAACCATCGTCTAAAAGGACTCAAACTAGAAAACACACACTGTAGAGCTATTAGACGGGGGACTAAAAAAGAATCATCTATTAAAAGATTTTTTTTTACTAAAAATCGGTTCAAACAAACTATAATTTGAAGCTAAATTCACTTTACACGAGTGTTCTATATTAATGACAGATATATTATACTTTAGGGCTCAGTTATCAGTTTAATTGACTGTCTATTAAGTTATTTAGACAACAAATGTCCACCTAAAAATGAAAAAAACAATGTTTCTGCATAAAGAAGCAAATTCAGTTCTGTTCAAAATGACTTGAAATGTCCACTGATTGAATTCAGACATGATAAAAACCTCAAAACACTAAATATTAACTTTTTAAGTCACACTTTTACCTGTGTTCGCTAGCAGGTCAGGGCTCTGAAACTGCCCTGAAACTACAAACTAACCATCATCTAAAAGGACTCAAACTGGAAAACACACTGTGGAGCTCTAATCATCTATTAGAAGATTTTTTTTACTGAAAATCGGCTCAAACAAACTATCATTTGAAGCTAAATTGACTTTACACAAGTGTTTTATATTAATGACACACTGTAGACTCTTAGGAGGACTGAAATAAAATCATCTATTAAACTGTAATAACTGTAATTTGAAGCTAAATTCACTTTACACAAGTGTTTTAGATTAATGACAGATAAATTATACTTTAAGGCTCAGTTATCAGTTTAAATTACTATCTGTTAAGTTATTTAGACAGCAATGTCCACCTAAAAAAGAAAAAAACGTTTTTTTCTGCATTAAGAAGCAAATTCAGTTCTGCTTAAAATAACTTGAAATGTCCATTGATTGAATTCAGTCGTGACAAAAACCACAACACTAAATATTAACTTTTTAAGTCACACTTTTACCTGTGTTCACTAGCAGATCAGGGCTCTGAAACTGCCCTGAAACTACAAACTAACCCTCAACTAAAGTGACTCAAACTGGAAAACACACACCGTAGAGCTCTAATCATCTATCAGAAGATTTTTTTTACTGAAAATGGGTTCAAACAAACTATAATTTGG